CTTTTTCAACTCCATCCCAGAGGAAGAATTCAGGAAAACAATGTTGGATAAGTGGCAAAAGCGCATGAAAAAGTGCATCCGGTTTGATGGACGGTACTTTGAAAAGCAAAAGGAAGTTATGGAAGATTCGGAGGAAAGTGGATACGAATATTTACTTTTTGAATTCTGGTAAGCGAAAAATCTTCCTAAAAACCGTAGGGGTAAACTTTCCTCTCTAATTTCAAATTGTCATAACTCGGTCAATTTTTATTCGATTGAGCTGATCTTGGTTTTAATCGATAGGTATTGAGTTGATCTTTAAAATGAGAAATCATGTCTGTATCTATCTTACTTTTGAAGTTACAGAACCAGTCCCGGTACTTTTGGGACATCCTACGTATGATATTTTTACTCTACACATATGCCCGAATACGCATCGTAAGGGACCTATGTGCTTCCTAAGTTGCCAAGTATTAATTATTGTTAGATGATTGGTCTAAAACATTCAATACAACCAGTAAAAATTAGCTGTCCCCTACGAGATTCGAACCCCCGCTCGCACAAAAAGTGACGCTCTCCCAGAATCAGAACAGTGGCGTAGCTAACTGAACTATCTCACCGCTTGGATAATGATGGAGAAAAAGAGAACAGTTAAGTGATCTCGGACGCTGAGCGGGGCTTCACAAAAGACGTCCTTGAGATTTCAACAGTTCGGCCACTGGCGTCCTAAGAGACAACGGATTAACCGTATTACTCTGTGAGACATTGTTTACCTATGCTGTCATATGTATGTCACAAGGTTCATCACACCATGCATTTGCGATCGCGGCAGTAAGCTGAGGCAATATTTCTGTATTCATGGATTAAATCCATCAATCGAGTTCTGATTTTGGCTCATATATCCGTAACGGGTCCTCCAGAGCAATTTTCCACCTTGTACGATGGTTATTATTTCTTTATATCTATGTTTAAAATTTGAGGTGGGATAATGGCGGCTTCTCAAGAGCAACGAGGTAGGCGATCTTTTGCACCAACGAACAGAAAACTGATGGCGAAAAATAGCCAATGAAAACCTCCCAAAAAAAAGAATTTGCCTAAAAACGGAACTTCGTGGTTCTGCGCAGATTTACCAGTCAGACACGACATCTCATAGTGGAAAAAAACTCGCTGAAAGCGAATTTTAGAAATCAACACAACTTGACGTAGAGACATGATTGGCTAAAAAATACAACGGTTTTTGATACATCGGAAAATCTACCAAAAATCGGAGATTGGGCGAAACGCTCAAGGTCGCAGAGGTATAGGGAATCCCATAGCGAAAGCAACGGAACGATTGTAATATCATGGGGAACTCCGTTCCCATGACAAAACTGAGCAGTTACATTGGTCTTAGAATAGTATTTTCATCGTTGCAGATGATGCGCTAGCAAAATAATGTAATAGCATGTTTCCATACGCGAAGTTTCTAAGTCCAGAAATTTTGGTGATACCTAGCGCTACTGATTTTTTGCTACTCTATCACATGCAAACACGAAAATACGATCCTATGACACATTCTACTGTGCTAAGGAAGAACGCCGTATGAGCCTTCAGACGTTGCCATATTTTTTATACTTTCCTGAAAATATTTAATTTATCCGACGAAATTTGGCAAATCCCGAATTTTCATACGGCGTTCTTCCTTAGCACAGCATTATTGTCTCCAGTTTAATTTGACTCTAATGTTTGTCCGTGAGACAGAACAATTCAATAATATCCATGTCCTCGTTTAAAAGCCCTTGAATGTCGATCGGTATATTTTTCTTTTCTTTCTTTTCTCTGGCGTCATTTTTTTCCTGATTTAAATTATTTTCCTTCTTCTTAACCTCATCACTTTCATTTTTCTCTTTTTCTAATTGTTCCTGCAGATTCAAGTCTGCATCTAGTGTAGAATCCCCCTCCCGCTGTACTCTCACAAGCAGTTTACACGTATTTGGATCCTCGCACAATCCAACGGTCTCCTGCATACGTTGACCGTATGCAACTGGCGGCCAATTGTACTGATTGTGGTACTTTCCGTCAGAGGAAAGTCTACTGCGCTTTGGCACTGGTTCTTCGCGCGATATAGGATCCTCTTCCTCATCGGATGTTTCGAGGATTATCAAAGGAACTGCTTTGGGGCGAGCTGCGGGGATAACATCAGGGGTGGCTGAGGTGGATGGAAGTTCGGGGTTGGGAGGAGTTAGTTGCGTTAAAGGGGGGATTGGGTGGTCAGTTTCTTCGTCAGATGCGGGGATTATTTCGGGGGAGGCAGGCGGGGTTGGCTCGGGGGAAGGGGATAGATCGTGTATAGCGGCGGGAGTTACGATTTCTTCACTGTTGGTCGTCATAGTAAGTTATCTAAAGAATGAGAAAAGAAAATGGGCTTTTCTGAGAAGGATTAAAAAATTAAGTAAAAAAAGAAGAACATGGTTTTGTGTTTCTTTCTTTCGGTTTAACATGTGAGTTTTTTTTAGTGGCTTGAATTTGTGGTTTAAAATGAGAAGTTGCACTTCTAAAATTTTTAATTTTTATTAATGAAAATGTCTGATAAATTTCTAAGGAAGAAAAAATTTAAGTGGAAATGAAGTAAATTTTATGAGCCCAGTATTTTTCTTCTTAAACAGTAGCGTCATGCTGATATCTTGATAGGAAAATTGTTTGATTTCTCTGATTTGAGAAAATAAAAAAAAAATGGAAAAGTACTCACCAGAAAAATCACTGCACGAACACTGTAATTGCTGTAAGCGAACACTGTAATTGCTGTAAGCGAACACTGTAATTGCTGTAAGCGAACACTTCCACTGCAATCACTGCAAGTCAACACCAACGAAACTAACTCGTCAATCGAGCTAACATCATCGTTTTAATAGTTTCTACTTTCTAAATCAATTACTGTTTGCGACCCCTTCTCTACGACATCATGAAGGTCGCGTGTCGTACAGTAATTATTGCGACATACATAACTAGTTGGAATGATAGTTGTCGATTTGACAAGTCACGTGCCGAAGTAGGCGAATACTACAGTGATAGCGAAGTGAAAAGTAAGCGCATTTCCTGTATGACCCATGATCAGTACATGC